TTATTCTCAATACAGAACATATCTACTACGGAGTCAATAACAGAACTCTCGGAAGGATTTATAATCTGTCAAAATGTTCGAAAATTGTTTCGAATTTTACCCCATAGTGAGACGTTGAATTTTTCCATGGAGAAGCAAGTTTGAGTCAATGTCATAGGCTGGCTTTGTTCCCCATCACGACGCCATGTGAAATCGTATCGAAACTTTGAAATTCCAATTGAATTTCATATTCGATATTTCCATCGTGACTTTATCCTTACCGCTTGTTACCATTCTTTGGAAAGATAAAGAAATATTGACTTAAAATTTTTTTATTCTCAAACATACTTCGCATCACTTTTCGTTATATCGAAATAACACGGTCTTGACAGACGAATCGGATCGATGGGAAGCTGATCTCAAAAAATTAAAAAAGTATGAAAGTCAAAAGACAAAGGACACTGAAATAATGCCATATCTATGGATACTGTATGTACATGTGCTAGGGATGACTGCTGCACGTACATTCGTCTGTGGGTATGTGTACTTATATAGGTTGGGTGTGGCAGATGGCGTCATGACTAGAAATTTCTTTATATGAGAAATGCTGCGAGACGTTGTTCCAGAATTCAAGAATCGAGATGACGAGCTCGTAGGGTGAGAAATACTGAAAGTTTTCGCTTCCGGAAAGTATGAGAGGGTTCGATTATCGTAACTCATAATGGCCATAATGTACCTTGAAAGCACAAATGTTTAATTCAATAAAATGATCGAACAAACTTATCTAGCTTATAATTCTACCGTTATTGTTTAAAGAATCTTACTTTAGACAATTATGAAATAGATCATTTTAATGTCCATTGTAGTATATGCAATTTGGAATTTGTTCTATTTGAAAGTTTTGTTTTATATTTATCATTTTTTTTGCACTAATTTACTGTATACTTTTGTGTTACCCTCAAACAGAATATTTTTATCGTCGTTACCCTCATTTTTGTTTGATTCCATATAATACAATGGGGGTTAGACACAAAAGTAGAATAACGTCACTGTATTTCTGGGGGTTATTTTATATCTTTTTATGCATCATATTAAAAACGTACAACTATATCATTCGTTGTAATTTAAGTACATAAAGGAAAGTGTACGTAAGTTCGATCGACTTATTGACGAGTCTCAGGTCCGGTTTAAGACTTTATTGTCGCTCCAAAAAAAAATTGGCTTTTTTCCTTTAACAAAGGTGACCTTTAATACTTTATCAAATTAATTCTCCTCCACTTGTGATACCCTAATGGTACTTACAAGTGGACTTTTACAGTTTAGGAACTGAAGCCACAGTTCATTGGACTAAACACTGATTTTTTTAATTCTACCCGATCAGCTTGTTGGATTTCGCCTTTGATTCCTGAAGAGTTTAAATTTCATGGTATAATTCATTAGATTTGGTTTCGTGTAACGCGAGCTGATATTAACTTGCTTCTTCGGTCCTACAAAGTTAAAAGCTTTTTTGACTGCCTTTAGTAAACGTATCCAGCTGAACTTGAGCAAGGAATTAGCATTCGCTGTTATTATTATTCATTATTTATATAACAGTAAATCATGACATTTCTTTGTCATGAATTCAAACTTTTCTTTTGCATCATTATTATTGACGTGTAAAATGTTAAATAATGCCAAAGTTAAACCGTTTGTCTCAAATACCACAATATTTTGTGTTTCCATAAAGTGTTACCATTTTTTCACATTAAATTTTGTTATGAACGCCTTTATCTGCCATTAACTAAACAGAAGTCGTTAAGGTACGGTTGCGCGAGCGGAAATACTTTTTAACAACTTTTTTTTAACCCTCCGAGCGTTAAGTTTCTCTGGCCTATTCGGAAGTGCTCTAATGTCGGACAGAACGTGTTCACCGGGTCTTAAAGGCTTAGAGGGTTGAACTTAATTTTTTAAGACGACAAAGAGCTCCATTTGATAATTAAAACAGAATCGAGTAAAAGCTATGCCATTCGAATGACATGTCGAAGAATCATCAGCAACCGTCTGCCAATTTCGATCCCTTGTTATTTTCATATTCATCAGCTGTTATTGTCTATTGTAAGTACTGTCCCATGTAAATCGTTGCTTTAATTTTTAGCATATATGCATACACCAAAGAAATGAAAATACTTTTGCATAGTTTAATGGTGCAACTGACAATGAGTTGACTTTCGGAACGGAGGTCGTGCACTCTAAGTTTAACAATGGTTGCTTCAACGAACAAGGACGAAAACTAAAAAGCTTCGTCTAAAAGAGAACGTGGATGCTGTAATCCCGGGGTAAAGTCGGATAATCCAGGATTGATGGGCGTCTCTGATTCTTTTTCCTTTCTTTAATCTTTTCTATTCCTTTCGTCCCACAAAAGCCTAACTCATGCCCTTCAAGAGACAGTTAGATATTATAGTTGTACCAGATGTTACTATTCTTGAATGTCCTGTTTTTATTTCTATCCTTTTATTTTTCCTTTTGAAAACATGCCGTAAGTTTCAAATCAAATCTGCCGTTCCCCGATTAAAGGTTAAAGGAAACGCGAAGAAAAAGCAGAAGCAGCTCCGATTGCAATAATCTTTTTTTCAGATTTATTCCTATTCAAGCAAATGTCAAACACGACAAGATACCGCTCGAGGCTAACAAGTGCCATTAGAATTTGGTAATAATGGCTGAATCGTATGTTATATTTATTTTAAAAAAAGTTTTATCGACAGACAACAGATACGTTACACAAACAAAAAACCAATCAATTTACAATGCTTACCAAAAATTTGTCGTAAACACGAAAGGACAAAAGCATCGTCAACCTTAAACCGTTTCGCATGCTCGTAGTTACTTTGTCATGTGATTTACAACTTCGAAATTTGTGATTTTAGGAGGGAACACATTGACAATATTTTTTCCGTAAGCGACAAGTATTTCATGATATCGGAACAAATTCATGATCGGATAAGGCAAAAGCTGCGAGTAAAGGACTATCGATGTTGCAACAGACGGAACGAACAGTTCCTATAATTGTCATTCCACTAACAAATTAATTTATCGCTCCATCCAGACTTCACTGTTCCGCCATACAGTCCTGGTTGTGGTCAAGTCCGACTTTAGGTAGTTGGCAATAGTCTAACGGAGGGTACTTCGGTAGTGGGTAACCCTGTAGTGTCAGGGACAATCCCACGCTTCGGTGAGCGAGTAAAGCAATCATCTGTCACTGGTGCAAACCGTTGTGACCCTCCGCCTGACCCCAGTTTGATAATTGAGATTTAGGTTAGGGACGAAACGTACAGGACAGTAGTAGGAAACAAGAAGTGTCGTATATCCTGTAGGGAGCATTCTTGAAAACTTCAAGGTACAATGCAAGGAGCCATAGTTCTCTTGGTATAAATTAAGTTTGTACACGTTAGGTATATACTGAATGTATATATGTATGTACTCCGTATATAACATAATAGCTATGTATATAAATCCTCCTGCGACCCTCTACGAGTTTTGTCCCTTCGTCACAACACTCTCGATACTTTGATCGTTCTGAAAATACTATGTGCTTAAGTAATGGAATACCCTGTGATTTTTCAAGGAGGGTTATGATAATGTATTACGGTTACTGTAATATACTATGCCGAAAGTTTCTACGCGTCTCCTGAACGCTTTGCCTCAGGGACACTCTGATATTCGTAGAGTTATTGCGTGTTGTTACGCGTGTATTCTAAGCTTCGCGTGCGAATGGATCACCAAGCTGCGTCGTGGCGCTTTTTCATACCTCATAGATTTTATTTTTATATATATTTGGTTATGTATTTTTTGGGGTGAATTTTACATCCCGTGAATATTTGCAAACTTGAATTAATGTAGATTATTTCTTTTTCTTTTTTTTTTAAAGCGTTATTTATCGCCAAGGGAAACATTTGTTATGCCAAACGTAACGTCCATGTTATACTGCTTTGAATTAAAGTTTATGTTTTTATATTATAATACAATGGGACGCAGGCTTAATTATTATATAGGGATAACTGCGGGCATCGTTGTTTCGCGTAAAAAAAAAACTGACTGATGTTCCCTTCGTATGGTTCGTTTGCGAGACTCATGAATAGATATTAACCTACAATAAACTCGAAGGATGCTGAAGTCGAAAAATCCGTGGATTATTCTCCTAGGCCCCGTTGGGTATGCAATACTGATAGTTACACCCGTTACACGACAGCCATGTTAAAACAGCAGTTGCGTATCCCATTTGTATCAACCGCTTGATACTATCGGATATGGCCAATTCGATGCTCGATTGATCCACAGATTTAGAAATTTTGAGCGGCCACGCTTGCGATTTCATGCCTTTCTGCCAACTGTGTCTGACTTCACTCAGAATCATTTCACTGGTCCCACCGCATATCCCTAATAAGTCTGACAGGTATATCTATATATTGATATATAGATATATTTCCCTTCAACTGACGATAGCCTCCTCGATTCCCTTTCAGAAAATATTAAAATTCCTAATAAAAATAGCCAGTTTACATATTACCCACGCGAACCAGCGATTAGAAAATTTCCAATGTAACATAAGAAAGTCCTTACTATCCATCTGACTGATAATAATCGATTTCCAATATTTATCGAGCATCTCGTTTCTCGTGCCTCGAAGCGGCATTCTCTCGCTCGATAGCACATGGAAAATTACTCAGCAATATCCAAGAAGTTACCTTCCGGTTACTAAATTGTTCTCAACCCCCTTCTGGATCTTGAATCGCGAGGTAAGATCTACAAGAAATTCCAAATCGTTCTCCAAGGATAGATCTACCTACCACATATACATACTGTAACCGATCTCCCCAAGAGTAGAGATATTCTCACTGCGCGGGATGCTCGCAGAAGCTTCGCAGGGAGGCTAAACGAGGATCCTGGTGGGGATTGTCGGAGGTTCGAGGTTGGTGGGCTCGGGGAACGACTGTAGGGAGCACGATGGTGGTGGAATAGCTGGGGGTTGAAGCAGCTGAGAGGCAGTACGAGTAGGTCAGAGCGTCAACCACAGCGAGAGTCAGCGTTTGCTATAGTTCATCCGAACCTCTGATTACCACAAACAAACCACATATTTCTTTCGTAATCGGTCACACGCGGTATAACGGGACGATCATTTATTAAACTTCCGCGATACGGAAGTCAGAAGTGCTGAAGAAGAATCACTCCTCCGATACATGAAAGGAATCAGGGAAAAGAAAGAAAGAAATGAAGAGAACCTCTTTCGTAGAAAACAAAAATTTTGACATTGTTACCTGCAATTGGATTTCAACTTTATTGTGCTACCTTAAATCAACCTCTAAAGCTCTGTCCACACTCGTCTACCATTGTTCGTGCTGTCAACTATTCGTATGTACATGAGCGTGAAAGATTACGTAAACTGGTGCCAAGTCTCATCCCGTATGTGTTTCGACGCGGAGTTTATAGGAAATGAGACTCACCCTGTACATTGACTGCTTGCGGTTCAAAGCGAAACGACGTCGTGATGTTGATCCAATGTCAATAACTGAATGACTCGAAAGCTTCGCCACATGGATATCAACGTGGAGATCACGTCGATGAGTTCTAGTCTTTATATTTTAAGTATATCGATAATGTGCCAAGTGTCTTAAAACGCGTACGATAGAATAACTTCAATATTCGTTATTGATGCTTTACATTGATATAGCTGAAACGTATGTACGCGCTCGTTGGTTATGCTGTTGTGTGTAAATAATAATAATATTTGCTCGTTTTGATCGTCGAGAGACGGTGAGAGTCATTGTTGGTTCGGTGTAGTTTGTATAGAGGGTTCATATTTCGTAGATTGTGATTGTTGCTGTTATAAATTTTGTGAATGATATTGAACTGTTGATTCAGTGAGTTATATATATCGCGCTATTAACGTTTAATGTACGCAAAGTTTCCGCAGGCCTACATGCATATGATTATTTAACGTTGCATAAGCAGTTTAACGAGTGTGCTGCGCGATTTGTTCGTTATTATTGGGTTGTATATACGAGATTGATAAGAGTTATATCGTACGAACGAAGAGGATTTACCGTGCTTCCGGAATCACGAATTTTTCATGTGAATCAAGTAAACGAATTATTCTACAGGGTTGTGTCGACTTTTCGCTGTAAATACGATTTTATGAGATTCTGCGAAACTGTTGGAAGTTAGTGCTTTTGCTAATGTCGTTAAAGAATATCTGGGAAAATAACGATACTTGGTCGACAACAGTCTTCGAGTACAAGAAGTTTCAAGTTTGTTCGTAAAAGTAGAAGAATACGACACTCAGTGCTATTTCGTGTTGTAATTCGAATATTAAGAAAATTGAAAGTGTTCGAAGTTACGGGCGGCGACTTCTTTTCTATCGTATTTCTTTCTTAGCGATCAAAAACGAACAAGTGATTTTCAACTTGTTCGAAAGTGGGTCGTGTGACGATTTGCAAAAAACGAGACCTGGGAAACATTGGTGCAAGAGTAAAGATAAAATGGGATCCCTGAGATCGTGTAAGTACACCATGAGGATGCCCTAAGAAGTAATCAATGAAATTCGAGGATCCAGTGTGGATACGAAGAAACGTGTAGAAGATTTTCTGGCACGAGTTCAGCAATTACTGGATGCTAATCTATAAGTGCAACGTTGCAGTAATCGATTAGGACGATCGTAAATTTCATATAAATAAAAAGTTAAAAATTTTAAACTTCCTTGATAAATCAGCTTTTTGTTATTAAAATTAATATTCAGACAAGAGTTAATAAAGACAGGTCGCGATAATTTCTGTGATTCAAAATGGAGGTCGCAGCATCGGCTATGTTGGACGGATTGAAAAACAATCGAATCAGCAAGTTGGCACTATCGCGCTTCCTCTCGCAAAGCCTGTAAGTAAAATATTACGGCGCGGTATTTGAAAGAAGGCTTAATTTTAAGCTCGGATTAAAGCTTTCCTTATTTAGAATACGTTTTTCTGCGATTGGCGAATTTCAAAGTAATACGACGCTTTTAAATCAAGCCCTCATTTAAATGCCAACATCTTAAGCACTAATTATCACGGTATACAACGAACCCCACTTTTCCAATTATTTTCCCTATCGAAGTCCAATCGCCATAACCAATAATAATGACATTTACAAACCCAATCATGCCCTGTATTTATTAATCTCATTGTCTATATATATTTCTCTGTGGATTTGTGTCATGGTTGTAATCCTATACATAACAAGTCCGTCTCTCCCAAACCCCCTTTTTAGACGTATATAAATCATTGATCTCCCTTATGATTATGTACACCGTATAGAAAATCTCTGTCACAGGAGAAAAAGAACCAATATTACTTTTCCATCAGAAAATGCACATCTCATATTTTCAAGGTATTAAGGTCAAACATTCATTGTAATACGTCATGCAATTCCTGCACATCCAAAATCGTTTTACTAGAATGCTAATTAGTTGCGTATGAGACTGTACTAAATTAAACTATTTAACCCGAATATACAGGCTAAATTCTGAGAGTCAACAATTTGAAGACAAGCAGTTTAACGTTTTTCCGGCCATTTTACCATTTTAGCCCGAGCAAAATGTGTAGCTTCCTCCATACTGTATATACAATGTATGGGACATCCGTCAGATACTTCCTGTGCGCATGTAGCCCTTGTATAAATATGCATTGCGTAAAGTGAATTAATGTGGGACACATACATGCATCTAATACGCGTATGACGTTCGCAAGGCGAACAGCCGTGCTAATAAGTAAATATTTGCAGCTAATGACATCGTGGTAATACAAACCAGCTATGGTATAAAAATTTTATACTTGTCAAACATATAGGATATTAAACGAACTACGAGTGCCAGGAATACCTTCGTTATTGTTGATTTTATATAATGGATGGTTAATTTGTAGAACAAATTGTGTATATAGGTACTGTCATTAGTAATAATGAATCAATGAATTATTCAAAGTTCCTTCCTTTGTCCTGTTTATATTGTGAAATATTTCTATGACATATTTTATTATTAAATTCGCATAAAGAGAATTTATTTGCGAAATAATAATGTGTTTTATTTTCGAGTCGAAAATTTAACACTGTTTCGAGTTTATACAACTTCCGTTGCTTTGTTACTGAAGTGCAACCTTAGTTTCAGGTCACGAAATCCTGTAGGGAAATTTTTGAGACCCATACTGGGTTTAATAAGAGCGCGTAAACATAGATCGAGACATGAACAGCCTGATGAAATATAATTAATTAACTAATATTCATATGTAAACACGAATATTAATCCGGAGATCCTTTAGGCCGAAAATGAGTCTAAGGACTCATTTAGACCAAAGCCAGCGACCAGCGACCAATGGGCAAGATGCTTTGTAATGATTTCTTTCTCTGAACCTTTAATTAGATATCTGAAAATTCAATTCGGTATTTCTTTGTGAAACATTCGGGTATCTTGTTCTCGATTGGTTTACCAAGACAGATTGTCTTGGCGTAATTTCATAAAGGTGTATTGTTTTCACATCGAAAATACATTATTAAATTTTTTTCTTATCAGTGTCTATTAATGATTAGGTATCGAATGAAATTGCTGTAGCAGTTAATGGCTTATGCGAAACGCAAATACGTCATTTTTGTGGCATTAGTAGTCTTTGGTGCGACCTAATATCAATTTCCTGGATAAATCGCAGGATGTCTGTTGTTTTACATTATTAAGATAGAGCGTGCGTGCGTTGGATCGATATTGCTTGCTCAATATTGGTGTATGTAGGAACTTATGACTCGAAATTTATTTCTGGAAAATTTGGTATACATATAATCAATACGAAAGAATGGCGAATACATTTTCAGTTTTATTAACCAATCAATTTTTCTTCATATTACTCATAATTAACACAGTAATAATTTATTTTTTTCTTACAATGTAACATATTTTACATTAACATTTATACTTACACGATTTAGTTTTAAAGATTTTTTAAATAATTAAATAAATTTACAATTGCGAGTGATCAAACGCGAAAATATAATACCACGCATATTGAGCGTTTAATTTCTAGATTAAAACGTTCACCTGCTTCGTCACTTGACAGTTGATTCGCTCTCTAACCTTCTAAGTGTCTTACAATTAACTAACATTGCTAATTGGAGCGTAACAGTAGGATTCTAGTGTGGACGTTTGAACCTTTCCAACTTAGCTTTATAACACGAATAGAACATTAAATTACATCATATCAAGCTCTATGGCCAATCGCCAATCTGTTCTGTTCGCAAGAAGAAAATAAACTCATAAAAAGTCGTTAGTCAAAAAAATCTATTATGTAAAACACGTTTCCTGTACATTATTCATATTGCAAGCTAAACATACCTATGACAAAGCATACTCACTAGTACCTATAACGATGAACAGGTAGGTATTTCATAAGCTCGAAAGCTCGCCGTTAATATTTATTACGTAAGCATTTAACTTTTGCACCAGGTGATTACTTTTCGGAGGAAAATTATTATTTTTTCTATAAACTGTATTATTCAACGAGATTTTCTTGTCAACATAAAAAAAGCTCGTTTTCACCTAGAAATATTAATATTCGCTAAAATACCTTTAGCGAAGTAAAATGCAGTCTTTATTCTGTATTTAAAGTACAATATCACAATTCATCGTGCGACTCGTATCCAGATAAATTTCAAGAGCCGCAAGGCTTCACGTCAATCATCCGGCAAAGTGGAATGGAGATCTCGACAAGAACGCGTTAGAAATCTCTTTCCATTGGAGGAAGAAAAACCATCCAACGAATTCGCCAGTGCTGTAGCTTACGAACAAAGCTATACAATGATTGCGGACAGTGCAAGAACGCGAATGTCACTTCAGGGGCTTTTGAGTATTCTTCTTGTTTCCGTCATGTGACGAAACGCTTACATCACCATCTTTTTTTTTTCTTTTCCATTTATTTTTCTTCCACCGGTTTTTTATAGTCTCGTCTTTCTCTCTCATAAACCTACACCGTCCACAAAAATGAGAATAATTTGACGTGCGATCCCTCGGCAAGATGGCGACTGACAACGTATAAACGTTTGTCCCGCTGTTCGCTCGCTGAAGCATCCTGGTGTAATGCCGATGATATGCTTTCTCTGCACGTTATATTCGCTCGAGTGTATCTAAATGAAATCTTGTTTATATCACGCGGGTTTCCGCTCAACGATTTGTCCTTGTAAAATACGTGGATGGAATGGCTACTTTCTGTCTCCTGGGGTGTCTTTTTTTTATATTTATTTTATCTGAAAAAAAAAAATTATGAAAAGTAGACATAACGTGCACTTACTTTTAATTAGATTTTTCTGTATATTCATATTCAATACGGCGTATCTAACTAGGTGGTATTACTGCACAGTTGATAAATAGACCTACGTTGGATTGTGTGCTTGCTGAAAATAAATGACATACCATTTTCAATATGTATGATACACTGTCACTTTTGACTATTTTAACCAATAATGAGTCTAGTAGAATTCCATATTTGGTATAGCAGCGTTAAAAAATTGTGGGCCAGTCATTTTTCATATACTTCGCAGTGGTTGGACAAAAGAGAGCCGATAAATCGTATAATTATTTTAACTTCGGATACACGTAGTGAAAGATTTCCCAAAAAAAGAAAAAATCAATAATTTCTATAATTTATGAATAAAACAATAGCCCAATGCAGAAAATCTTTGAAAACGAAATTTGTGCATTAAAGAAAAATGTTTTGAAATTCTTCAAGGCACAAATTATTGTACGCGCTAACTTGACCCAATATTAAAACTGATCTTTTCGATCCTGGTACATTGGCTTCGATGAAATACTCATTAATTAAAGCAATTCATAATTTCATCGTTAAAAGTTAGAAAGAATCAAACAAGTTAAAATTATTTTACAGAAACTTAAAATATGTCAATTTACTAGTTTGTTTAACGAACGACTCCTGCTGTCTATTTCTGATGTGTTACAAAGATCCACATACAAGTACCATGTCTAACAGATTGTTTTGTCTCCTGGAAAACTTTGAAGCCATGTATCACAAACATAATCGCGCATACGATACGCAGTTTGTATGCTCATAACTTTTTGCACGTTTCATTACCACACAAAAGAACAAATTGTTCGTTCCTCTTCCCCTGACCAAACTTTACTTTTGATATCGGCCTAACCTGACGTTCTGCATGCAAACTAAAAGTTTCAGTGAAATGGTTGCTAGTGGTCCAAATAAGAAAGCTTAGATGAATATTAATAAGGTAACTGCTACTCTGCAAAATCTATGTCGATAAGATGGATGAGAGAGTCTATGAGAGTAATGGACAGGTGGAAATGTGAATTAAGATGAATGAGGATAATGCATTTTGAAAATCGAACGAATGGGAACGAATAACTCATAGAATATGAATGATCACAATCAATGAAAATTGTGTATGCTCGGTCGATGAAATAAGTGCAGAAGGTTGTAAAAACCAATCTGAAAGACGTTGCAAGTATGTAAAGTGTATGCGACAATTGGATCATTGGACTTGTGAAGTGAGGATAAATTTTGAAAGACAGCAAAATTATAGAATACTAGTATAAGATAGGACTAACTTTCTGCAATATTGAACCGATAATACTTATACATCGGCAAAATCTGTTTCATCGGAAAATAATGTACGTTCGTATTTTAATTGATATGAAAATATTTTACGAAAATTTACCGGTTTGTCGATCACTGAAAATTCGTTATTAACCTTTTCAATAAACTCACGTGAAGATTTTCATGATTAAAGTCTCTTATATCAAAGACGTTTGACAGGATATATTATACCCATATACTATTTAATATTACCTTCACCGTGTATATCATACATGGTAAACTAGATTCAATTACGTT